GTTGGCTGTGGGGAGAAAGTCTTGGTCCTCAGCTGAAAGAATCACAAACCTTACGAGTGGAAGAAAAGGGGGAGCTCTGTCCCCAAATGTTACTCCAGTTTATGTTTAGGGCAAACACGGTGCCCAGAGAATGGAAGACCTCAGTGTGGACAGTAAGACCCCTGAAAAGCTTCTTGGAGGAGGTCATATTTAGGCAAGTGCCAAGAAGCAGGGGAAGCTTGAGACGGCTGAGAGGGAAAGCAATTTCAGGGACAGAGGAAGCTATGAGAAGCCCAGATTGGGAGTGGAGCTGGGGACAATCCCTCATATACAAACAGCCCTCCACAGTTTAAAAAAGCAAGGTCACACGACCGGATAAAAGTCAGCAAGCAGGGCTCAAAGGAAGGGACAGCAAAACCTACACTCTCCTTTCTAGGGTCGAATTGTCACTGGGAAATAGCTGGCAAGCCAGGGGCCACATTTCCCAGACTTCCTTGCATCTAAGTGTGGCCCCATGACAGGTTCTTGTCAATGGAATGTGAACGGAAATATGTGTGCCACTCCTGTGCCAAGGGTTTTAAGAAGTGGTTATGCCTTTCATGGGGTGTTTTCCTCTCCTACTAGGTGGGTGACGAGGATGATGGTTCGACCAGGGGATGGCAGAAAGGCAGAAAGCCTGGTCTCTAAATGGCCACATGGAAGAAAGCCACCTGCAAAACAGGAACAACTATTAACAGGTACATGAGTGAGAAAGAAACACAATATATTTGGGGTTTACTTGTTACAGCAGCTAGCATTGTCTTAAAACGTGGTAAGTACACCTTTCTTTGAATGGGCTGTAAGAGCATCATGGGAAGTAGAGAGGGGTGACAGCCCCACAGGGCACTGCCAATGCACCACCCGACACACAGCCCTGTTGCCTAGCAACAAGGTGCTCCAAGCCTTTCTCCCTCCTCTCCCCTCACACAACCTTCCTGATGAAGCAGGAATAGAACCTAGGATGGGTGGTATTTGGGCTTGTTCAGTTTTCTGCTTCTTCAGACTCCTCAGAGCATGAGTTGGGAGTTTTTGCCCTTGCGGGAGATGTGGGTAGCTAACTCTAACTGGGTAGGGCAACATGATTAAATTTGGCCAGAGAAACCATTGATATTTGTAGGGGAGAGCTGAAAGCCAGGGAGATGTGGGTAGCTAACTCTAACTGGGTAGGGCGACATGATTAAATTGGCCAGAGAAACCATTGATATTTGTATGGGAGAGCTGAAAGCCAGCCCAGAAGTTTGGCTGTGATTTTTCTTTTTTTGGCGAGGCAACCCTTGGTTGACCTCACAGATTGCAAGGACCTTGTCAGTTTACAAGCCTTTATTTTTTTTATTTTTTACACCTATAGCACCTGGTCTTCCTAGGTGGTCTCTCACCCAAGTACTAACCAGGACCGAACCTGCTTAGCTTCCGAGATTGGACGGATCGGGCTGTTTCAGGGTGGCATGGCCGTAGACTGGCTGTGATATTTTTCGCAAAGTAAATCTCAGGTATTTTAGCCTCCATCTTCTTCCCGCAGGCTAAGCCAGCTAAAGACCAGAGACTACGGCAGCTTCTCATAGAGAGGGTAGAATATGCTACCTATACTACCAAGGCCAGCTTATTTGTCCACAGAGGACCACACTCATCCCAGACCATGGTGGCAGCACCCTCACTAGAGCACTGCTTGAATGATGCAGCTCTGGAGGTTGGGGAGGAGGGACACAGGAGCACTTTCCCAAGGCCCCTTGGCTCTGCCCTGCCTTCCCTTCCCGGGAGAGTGTTGAGGATGGACCTCCCTTCTCAGGAACAAGGAGAAAGGAAGGAAGTTGGTCTTCTGCACTATACTGTGTATCTAACCTCTCTCCCATCATATGGCCACATTATATCTGACCCTCTCAGATCCTCTACAACTGCCTGTAAATAAATTGCATCTTCCCCATCCCCACTTCCCCATATGTAGGATCTCCTGATGGACTGTCTTTTCTGTCACAGTCTGGCATTCAGTTCTGCTGCCTACAATAGAAAATGAAATTTGAAAAATTTTTATTTGCCATAGCATAAAAAAAACCATGAAATATTTAGGAAAATATTTGACAAAATATGTATAAGACTCTGCACTGAAGATGACAAAACATTGCTGAGAGAAATTCAAGAAGACCTAGAGAAATGGAGAGATATGTTCACAGATTGAAAGACAATGTTGTTGAGAAGTCTATATACTCTCCAAAATGATCTTTAGATGCAACTCAATTTCAATCATAATCTCAGTAGACTCTTTTGTAAAAATCGACATGTTGGTATGGAAATGCAAAGAACCTAGAATATCCAAAGCATCTTGAAAAAGAACAAAATTGAAGAATTTACCTTATCTGACTCCATGACTTATTATAAGGCTACAGCAATCAAGACATTGATGGAATAGAATAGAGAACCCAGAAATAGACCCGCGATTAAGCGGCCATTTGATTTTTTATAAAGTCACCAAAACAATCCATTGGGAAAATGAAAGTCTTCAACACATGGTGCTAGAAAAACTAAATATCTATATAGGGGGGAAAAAAAAAACACTTTAATCTCTGCCTCACGCGATTCATAAAGTTGATTTGAGATAGATTATAGACCTCAATCAAAAGCCAAAACCATAAAGCTTCTAGGGACTAGAAGGAAAATATTTGACAAAATATTTTTGGGACTAGAGGGTAGGCAACAGTGTCTTAAAATAAGTCACAGAAAGCAATAACTATTCAAAATTGATAAATTGGTCTTCACCAAAATTGAAAATTCTGCTCATCAAAATACACCATTAAGAAAATTACTGCAGACCTCAAACTGGGGGAAAAAAATTTGCAAAACATATCTTACAAAGGATTTGTATATCAAATATATAAAGAATAATGACAAGTTAATAATAAAAAGATAAAGAACCCAATTTTTAAAACTACAAAAGTTTGAATGAACCCAATTTTTAAAACTACAAAAGTTTGAATGAACACTTCACAAAGGAAGATATACAGATGGCCAAGAAGCATATTTAAAGAGTGCTTAACATCATTAGTCATCAGGAAAATACGAAATAAAACCAAAATGAGACACCAACATACACCTACCAGAACAGCTAAAATTAAAGACTGACAAGATCAAATCTTGGCAAGGATGTGGAGCAATCAGAACTCTCCTACATTGTTAGTAAGAATATAAAATGGTAAAACTACTTTGGATGAAGATTTAGTAGTTTCTTAAAACAAAAGCTATCTATGAATCAGCAATTCCACTTCTTGGCATTTATCTGAAAGAAATGAAAGCATATGTCCACAAAAAGAGCCACACAAAAATGTCCATAAGTGCTTTATTCATAATTGCTAAAAACTAGAAATAGCTCTTTTGGAATAATGGAATATTACTCAGCCATAAAAAAAGAAATTAACTACCAATGCACGCAACATTATGAATGAATCTCCCATTATGTTGAGAGAAAGAAGCTAGACACAAAAGAGTATATATAATATAATTTATATGAAGTCCTAGAACAGGCAAAACTAATCTATGGTGAAAAAAATCAGAATAGTGGTTGCCTGGGTCAGGGGAAGAACGGACTGACTGGGAAGGAGTATGGGGGACTTTCTGGGGTTATGGTTGTTACTATATCTTGATAAAGGTTTGAGTTATACAGGTACAGGCATTTGTCAAAATTCATCTAATGTATAATTAAGATCTGTGCATTTCTCATTTATAAATCTTACCTAAAAAAAAAAAAAAGATAAATGAGTATTGAACTCTAGTTAATTATATACATCCTGAAATGTTCAGGGGTAAAATATACTAATGTCTGTAACTTTGTCTGAAATGGTTCAAAAAAATAAAAAGATGGAAAAGGATAGGTGAATGGGTAGGTGGATGGGTGGGTGGATGGATGGATGGATGGATGGACGGACGGATGGACAGAGGGATAGATATGTAGATATGTGATTAAGCAAATAGAGTAAAATGTTAACTATAGAATCTAGGTGGTAGATATATGAGTGCTCATTACAATTCTAATTTTCCTTATGTTTGAAATTTTCCACAATAAAATGTTTTGGAAAAAAGGCAAAACAAACAAATCTTCATCAGGAAGTCTGGATCATTTTCTCTTCTTCTAAGAGACCATTGAGATTATTCCATCAAGCCTCAATTCACTGAACAAAGTTGCTATCACTCTGTCCCAAGCTTAGACACTTGTCCCAAGCTACCCACCCTCTCCTCGTCCCGCCAAACCCTGCCCCTGGGCTGTCTGGATCTTCCACTCTACCATACTCTCAACCTCTTCTGGAAATTTCCCCACACCTCCTGGTCTTAATGGAGACGAAGGTAGCCTCTGAGACATTGCCTCCCACTCGAGAAGAAGCTATTTTTTCTTTCATATTCCAAGGGGGAGGTGTCTTCTTTGCTTCCCGCCACTCCTTCCAAATCATTTTTCGTCTTCCTTCCCTCAAAAACTCTAGATCCTTCGAAGTTCACACTGGCTAAACCTCTGCGCCTCTCCCCAGATCATCCTCCTAGTTAATCTCATCTCTGGTTCCAGGCACAGCCTCATTCAATCCCCAAGATGAACTCAACATTCTTGTGAATTCACTGTCCCCACAGATGACCCTTCAATGATCTGGCCTCTCAGTTTCTTGACCTCCTCACCTCCAAAGTTCTTTTCCTCTACACCAACTCAGCCACCCATTTCCCGTAGCACATTCTAGACCTTGTCTCACCTCTGACATCTTGATTTCAGGCATCCCACACCTGGACACTATCACCCTTCCCTCCTGCTCTTGACTCTCATTCTGCTTCCGCACCAGTGCTCTGGAGATCTCCAACCCAGTGACCTCACCACTTTTCCTCCACAGCCCCTTCCTTAATCCCTTATTCCCTTCCTGCCTTCCCACCAAAATGCTCTACCCCTCCCCTCCTGCGTTAGTTTTCTCTATAGCATTTACCACCTGCTAACATCAATAAAACTTACTTACTCATTTTATTAGTTGACTCTCTTCACCCAGGAGAATGTATATTCCATGAGGAGAGGTGTTTTTGTCTGTTTTATTCCCTGATGTAACCTCAGCACCTAGAGGTAGCAGACCACTTCAATAAGAAACTAGAAGCAACCCTTGAGGGTGACAATTAAAAGAATGTCCCTGCTCCTCTCCAAGACCATTTGCTCCACATGGTTCTTGTGGATCATGCCATCTCCTCGCATCTTCCCAGGAACTGGACTCTTAAGATGTTCTATCCTCTCTGCCATCATCAACTTCTCCTTCTGAATCAGATCATGTCACTTGTCTCTGTCTCCCATCTTCACAAATTCTTCCTTTGACCCTTATGCGCATCCGACTACTGTGTCATTTCTTTGCCCCTCTGCCTCAATTCCCATTTATTCTCAACCCACTTCGGCAGCCATATTGGCCCAGGAAGTGTCCCTTAGGATGGGGAAATCATGGTGTTAGAATCAAACGGAAAAACATATAGGGCCTGGGTTCTTAGTGAGCCCCAAGGAATGACAGTTCCAACCCTGGACTACCTTCCTGCAGGTTTCTATTTGGTCTGAGAGAAATAAGTTTATCTTTTTAAGCCATTGGTATTTTGGGCTTTCCTCTTATATGAAGTAAGTGAATCCTAAGTGATAGGTCTTATCTCTCCTACAAGACTGCAAGCAATTAAGGCTAATAGCTGTATTTCTTTTATTCAAAATGCTTTACGGAACATGGATTCTAAATAAATGTTTCTTGAAGTAAACGAGCTCTTGAAAACTACTCAGAGGCATCAAAACAGTACCAGCCTAGGGTTTGCAGCTAGGGTTTCTTTGTTATGTCGACAAAGGCAAGAGAAAACATACTGAGGAAGTGAGAGGAAGCGAGAGGTTGTAGGTAATGATTCATGTTTGGTTTCATTCTGTTTGTGTGAAGGCTGATGAAATTTATCAGTCAGAGGGTACAATGAGTTCCACTTCTAGGTTTCTTTTCTTTTTGTAACAGCTTTATTGAGATCTAATTTGCATACCATGCAATTCACCCACTCGAAGTGTACAATTCAATGGTGTTTAATATTCACAGTTATGCAACCATCAACACAATTTTAGAACATTTTCATCACCTCGAAAAGAAAACCCATAACCTTTAGCAGTTGTTTCCCATTCCTCCACTCTGCCCCAGTCTCGAGTAACCACTAATCTACTTTCTGTCACTATAGACTTACTTGTTCTGAACATTTTATATAAATAGGAACATATGATATGTGGCCTTTCGTGTCTGGCTCTTTTCACTTAGCTTGTAAGATTCAACCATGTTGTAGCATGAATTAGTATTTTATTCCTTTTCGTTGCCGAATAACACTCCATTGTTTGAATATGTCACATTTTATTTATTCATCTGTTGAAAGACATTTTAGTTGTTTCCATTTGGGGAATATGAATAATTATGAATAATACTGCTATGAACATTCCTGTACAACATTTTGTATATGTATGTTTTTAATTCTCTTGGGTACATACCTAGTAGTGGAACTGCTGGATCACATGGGAATTCTGTGTTTAACCTTTTGAGGAACCCGCCCCTCTGGCCTGCAGCTGCTTGTGTGGGTGTTGCCATCAGCCAGAGGTCTGTCAGGGCCTCAGTTAGGGTCAGATGAGTTTTTCACTGTTTTCCAAAACAGCTGCATCATTTATGCTCCCACCAGCAGTGTATTTCTCCACATTCTCACCAACAGGTGTTATCTGTTGTAGTGGTGGTGGTGGTTGTTATCATCGTTGTTATTTTTATTATAGCTATCCTAGTGGATAAAAAAATGTTATTAAGGTTTTGATTTGCATTTCTCTCATAACTAATGATGCTGAGCATCTTTTCATGTGTTTATCGGCCATTTGTATCTCTTTGGGGAGGAAACGTCTATTTGGATTCTGTGCCTATATTTATTTTTTAATTTTTAATATTTATTTTTTAATTAGGGTTGACATGCAATATTATTTTATATTAGTTCAAGTGTACAACATAGTGGTTAGACATTTATATACTTTACAAAGTGATTCCCTCACTCAGTCTAGTACCACCTATATTTTCCTGTTTTTAATTGAGTTATGTCTTTTTATTGTTGAATTATGAGGGTTCTTTCTATATTCTGGATACTAGGCCTTTATCAGATACATGACTTGCAAATATTTTCTCCCATTCTAGGGGTTGTCTTTCACTTTCTTGATAATGTCCTTTAAGACACAAAAGATTTCATTATGATGAAGTCTAATTTATCTGTATTTTCTTTTGTTGCTTGTGTTTTCTTGGCGTCATATTTAAGAAACCATTGCTTAACTCAAGGTCATGAAGATTTACCCCTATATTATGTTTTCTTCTAAGAGTTTTACAGTTTTAGTTCTTACATTTTGGTCTTTGATCCAATTTGGATTAATTTTTGTATATAGTATGAGGTCAGGATCCAACTTCATTCCTTTGTATGTAGATACCAAATTGTCCCAGCACCATTTGTTGAAATTCTTTCCCCATTGAATTGTTCTGACATCCATGCCAGAAATCAACTGACCATGAAAGGGAGGGTTTATTTCCAGACTCTTGATTCTATTCCACTGATCTTATGTCTGTCCTTATGCCAGCGCCACAGTATTGGATTACTATAGCTTTGTATTATGTTTCAAAATTTGGGGTGTGAATCCTCCAAATTTGTTCTTTTTTTCAAAATATTTTTGGCTATCCTGGATCTCTTGAATTTTTATATATATTTTAGAATGAGCTTATCAGTTTCTGGAAATAGACAGTTTTCAAAAGTATAAAGTTTTCAAGAATATAAAGTTTACGCTTCTTTTGTTAAATTTATTCCTAAGTATTTTATTCTTTTGGATGTTGTTGTAAGTGGAATTACTTTATTTTCAGGTTGTTTATTGCAAGTATAGAGAACTACAACTGATTTTTGTAATCTGCAAACTTGCTGTACTTGCTTATTAGTTCTAATAGTTTTTTAATGGATTCCTTAAGATTTTCTATTTAAAAGATCATGTCACCTGGGAATGGAGACAGTTTTACTCCTTCCTTTCCAGCCTGGATGTCTTTTATTCATTTTCTTCTCTAATTGCTCTGGCTAGAATCTCCAATTCAATGGTGGTTTTTTGGTGTTTTTTTTTTTTTTTTAACAGCTTTATTTAGGTATAATTGATATACAAAAAACTTGCACATAATTATTTTTATTTATTTA